GCAAAAACGCATTTATTTTTACTAAAATGACATTGAAAAAGCATTTACTATAGCTAGGGAACTAAAAAACAATGAAAACTCACATTTAAAAGGAATTATTGTAACAAAAATAATCATTCAAATGAATTAGATTTTTATTGTAACTCTAAAATTTATATTAACACTTAACGTGTGAGTAAACAATCTTTTCTTTGTAATAACTATTCCGTTGGGGTATCCGAGATGATGGCTACGAATTAATTTTACTCGCGTCCTTGCCTTAGCGAAATGCAGTTGTGGACTACCTTTTAAATCTTAAAATGGCATCAGTGAAAACCTAACTATATTTTTCGTTTTCCACACTTGTGTAATGGCCTTCATATACAGTGTAGGGTGGTATTCATCGCAAGGAAACAAAGTCTATCGTAAATGAATGGAAAAAAAGGAAAAAATCTTGACTGCTATCACCTGATTTCATTTAGATTTTTAACACAGCTTCTGCTTTCTTAGATGGACACGACTATGCCTGCATGTTGTTCAGGTTTGCAGGTGTATATCCAACGGGATTGAGATCGGTACTAAGATAAGAAAAAAGCAAAATAATGATGTAAAAGGCAGAAAAGACAAAAATAAGATAAAAAGCTGGAAATAGGTATCAGAAGCTAAAATATGCAACAAAAAAGCAACATGAGCTTTGTTTTAAAAATAACTTCACAAGTGCAGTTACGTAAAAGATGGCTAGAGTTAAAAGTCGTTAAAAGTAACATTAACGAAAAGGCATTTTGTGAAAGTTCCGGGCTCTAGATACGAGGCTGTTTTGTGTCAAACGTTGCCCCTCTTGGTGAAAATACTTATGTCTAATGGTGATCTCGGTGATGGCCTAAGTCCAGTGTTTCGTCTTTCTCTATCTCCTCACCAGCACCACTGCAAATCAGTGCTGAATGATCCAGTGGTCTGGAAGTTCTTGAAAGTACTATGAAATTCAAACAGTTACGATCGTGTTATCGAGATTTGACTGAATTTGTGTATATTTATAGAAGGCATTTATATGAAAGATAATACGATTTTATAGATTTTGCAAACTGTAAAAAAACGTTTTTAAATGTGCGTCAATTCCGCAATATGAAATTGCATTGAAATATAAACTAACAGAGTTTATAATGTTATAGTCACTATATTTATGTGAAAATATTGTGAAAGATTTAATGAATTTCCATGAAAATAGAATAGATTTTTACTTCCACGTAAGTATATTATTTGTGAAATATTAAGATGAAATGGTACTATTTTTGAAAAGCTATAAGATATTGGAATAACAAACCTGCTCAACTAGATTTTCAATACCTTGGAAAGAAATATGTATTTTTCTCATTAGCTCTCTTTCTTAGCTAAACAAAACATGCATAATATGACGTCAATCTATACAGGAAGTCCCACCAACTATGGGCCACCTTTTTATCTTACAAACGGTTCACGATGTCGAATAGTTTTCGCTCAACAATGCGGAATGTGAACCGTTAAAAGTTATAGGGGTGGCCCATAGTTGGTGGAAGGCTCTGTATTTCAGAGGAATCGTGTCCTCTCTAAGACAAATCTGACTTGTTATGCTTGTTGAAGAATTATATGCACGATATATCTTATCAGAACAGATAACATAAAATCCTGGAGTGTTGTCTCTTTTCAAAATAACGTGGAATTTCGTGGATAACGTTAAATCCCAAATGGAGCTCTTTCGTGACAAAGATGTTTGCCTGTATATATCTGGAGAAATTGTGTACGTCAGACGTAAAATTCATGACATGTGTGCTGTCATCTTGGAATGACACAAATTGAAGTATAAAAAGTATATGTTTTGCGATGTCTAAATTATGTTCTGTATTTCTAAATGTTCCAATAAAAAATGAATGTCGTGCACATCTACCATGCTTATTTATGTACCGTATTTGACCTAATTCTATTCCCCAATTAACATATTTTCTTTCTAGAATAATCTGGCTAATAGAGGTGGACTTGTTGTAGCACTGATTTAGTGTATTTTACCTTGGAAAAGACTGTCTGTTTCAAAATTGTATGAATTATATTATCCATTTTGTGCAGGTTGTTCATAATTTGTGAAACTTACGAGTTGTATAATTAATGGTAATTTTTTTTACCTGTGTGGTCAATATAAAGTACCGTGTTTGCTAGAGGTGTGCAGAACATGTAAATGTTGTTGAACAGCTGCTTTGAATACGCTGATAGAGAGCGGTCCACCATTCGGGGAAGATACCGTAAATTATTCAGGATAATTGAGATACGTTACTACTAATGCGTAATACATGCAGCATTTGGATACTAAGTGTGTGCATCAGTAGATTTGAGACCGAACGTTGTGAGCTAAGTTGTGACCACCATCAAAACTGTAAATGAATGTTTCTTGATTGAATGAGCAGCACTGAGAAAATTATTGAAGAAAGAAGATTTTCACACAATCAATTTGAGGTAAGCTAGACGAACATTTTTCCTTATTAGAAAAAGTAATTGTTTGTTCTCTGAAACTAATCTTTAAGTACTCACTTGACTTAAAGTTCTGTGAGAAGTTCTTCTCTTATTTTTCGAGCGATTTATATTTACCGAAATGTTCCATGTCTCAAAGGGAAATGTAGGAGGAAATTGAGTAAATATTGGTGCTTTTCGATGATGCAATTGCGAAGATCTAGTAAAGAGGATGTTTACCTGTTTGAACCCGTTTTAGCCATATTGTGATTTGGGTTTCCCTGTAATTTTTTGGTGTAGAAGAGAGGATTATAAAAGTCTGCAAACTTTTATTACTCTCTCTGGATTTGAGTTATCAAAGATAGTACAAAAATCTCTGAACACTGAACACATTTTGGTCGTTAATGAAGCTAGAATATTTTGTTGTGCAATGTGCCACTACTAAAGCATTATTTGTTTTTAAAAGTTCTTCAAAGTTATTTTAAGATTCAATATGAGTAGTCAATCAAATGTACGTGACACTAAGTTATTATATAAGTATTATTAGAAAAATGAATTGTAAGAAAGTCATTACATGAACGAAATAACGAAAGTTTTGAGATTAGGTTTATACTACTAATTCAGGAGAGGAAAAACAGGCTAACCATAGTAGTTAAAAAATGCGGTAGAGGTGAATTTTATAAGTAAATATCAGTTAAAACGTAAGAGATGCCACCCAATTCCCTCATTTGTTAAAGATCTAAAGTGCACCAAAATGTTTTTCTGCCTGGTCTGAAACAGTTTAGCAGTGCAGACCTTCAACATGTAGATGATGTGATGAAAATAAATAGTATGTGAACATACAAAGTTCAATAACTTTACTTTGTATTTTGTTTTATTTTTTAGGTTGATATACGCAACAATATTGCCTTCAGCAATCTCCAATCAATCATATTTTTTTGTAATCAACGAAATGAAAATGATGTCATTTTACTCTCATTCCTTTATTTCATTTTTTCCAGAATATCATTTGTTTTGTAACGCTTTCTTTTGTTATTGCAGCAGTAAAACAAGATCATCTTTGTAAAAAGGGCATGTAGAAAATATGGTTATCATCTCCTTAAAAAGGGAAGCATAACTTTAATATTAGTTTCAAATACTTTTTACACAGATTTTAATACACGATAAAGAAAATTAATTTAAAATATAATTCTTACAAAAATATTAATTTTTATTTTTTTTATTCAATGTTTTCTAAATACACAGTTCATTAACATGCTACTCTTTCATGTGTTGTGATGGCTTTCATTATAACTCATTCCAAACTTAGCACTTAATCACATTACTCGTAGTGTAGGAAACAACAAGAGCCCCTACTTTGAAGAATTAATTGAAAAATAATTTAGGAAGCTTCGAAAGGGAATGCATTTTTAATTGTAGTTGAAAAATCATTCAATGAGGCCAGGTTGTTATGGACTGCTTGGTTTATTGCATTTAGTTTGGTGAAAAATTTATTGAAAAGTGTGTGATATATTTGATGATTGGTGATATATCAAGTTCTTTATGAAGTTGGGTGTTTGAAATGAAATGTGTTGCTAATCTGAGGAATATATTTTGTGCAATATGAAGATTAGTGATGTTTTAAATTTATGATCTGATTAACGCATTTTTAGGGATAGTCTGCTTTTAAAGTTTATAAGGGGGTTAGCGTTGATTGATTGATTGTTAGTGATTCCGAGGTCATTAGTCCCGTAAGTGTATTTCATGTTTTCCCTCGGGCAATGGCGGTGGCCTTCCCCTTCTGGATGGCGAGATCCGGCGCCGACCTACGGACAACTAGGGTTTTTCCCCAACCAGGTACCTCCTACCAGAGAGGCACCACCCCCGCCGGGACAAGCTCTAAGCTCCCGACCGCTCTCCCGGCCTTTGTGCTAGTGTAGTGCATATTTCCTTCCTCGGGAGGAGGAGATACTCGTTACCAGGTATCTCCCACCAGCGGGGCACCGCCCCAGCAGGGACAAGCTCTAAGCTCCCGACCGGTCTCCCAGCGTGTGAGGTCGTGTAGGGCATGTTAGTGTAAGTGGGGGTAAGTAATGGGTGAGGACAGAACAAGGAAGAGGAAGGTGAGATTGCGCGCGGTCCGTGGCCCGTTTTTTAAGGTACTACTCCTGCATTCGCTTGGTGTTGATTGGAGAAACCACGGAAAACTACCTATCAGAGCAGAATTCGACCTAGTTCTTCCGTGTCGAAAATCTTGCCACCGTCAGGATTCGAACCTAGGATCTTCCGGTCAGAGACACTTCAGTAACATCAGTTGATGCCCTGAGCCATCTCTCCAGGTGGTTTAAGTTAAGCTATTTTTATTTTTGACTGTTATTGTTTCAGTGTTTTGTGTGTTTTCCAGTTGAGTCTTGTGTCAAAGTTCAGCCCGACGTATTTATATAATTAATAACAGGGCCACTTCACCTTCTTTCCCTGAACAGTCACCCGTGACAAGTTCTGATTGGACGCCAGGTTTGGTGATTGCGAGTGTATAGCTCCGAGGGCCTTGTTTCGCACAATTCGCATCGAATTACTTGAGTAATCGGACGCGTGTGCCACGTGATGAGTTTCGTGTTCGGTCATCTTTCGATGTTAAGTGTTGGTTTTGTTATTTGTTTTGGTGACAAAAAAAGGAAATTGTATTGTGAACCGTATTTATTTTGTTCGAGATATTTTCTTGTGAGGAGCAAACGTCCTGTAAGTAGGAGGCTACGTGAAAATGGTTCCGCTGCAGTTTCTGAAAAGGTAAGAAGCGCCTATTTGAAAAACTGATTACTGATATAATTGTAAATAACTGAGTAAATATGTTTATCATCTTTATTTTATATTTGTTTATTATATATTAATAAACTATCATTAAAAGTTTCATTAAATCGGGGGGAAGTCTAATACTTAAAATAAGACAAAAAGTGTTTTTAGTTTTATTTTCGTACATTTTAATGAAAAAGAGATTAATCCTAGAGACTAATATCCAAAAAATACTCTCGATCATAGAGTGAGACGAATAAAAATGAAGTTATTTTGCTCTCATTTTTATTGTCTTCGTTGAACTTTGGAGATAAGTACATTTTATGAGTTACGGAAACGTAGATATTATTAAATTCGTTGATATTACTTAGCTTGTATATATTATTAATTGATAATCTTGCATCACGTGATTATTATAGTGTAAAAAATTCTAAATACAACAAAAGTGTATTGAAATACAGCACTTGGAAAAATTGTTTAGAAACACATCCATCTAGTGCGATTGCTATTGATTTGTATTTGAAATAAACATTTACAATTATTTTTTATCGTAAATGTGAATTTTATCGGGTTTATTATTAATTTTTTATTTATTTGATGGTTTCCATATATTTCACGCAAAATATGTGCGTGGTCTTGATTAAATCTATTAATTATTTTCACACATTAAGGTTCGACTATTAAAGTAGCAATCATTTAACTGTGAAGTATTGTTGGATACGTTGAATTTTGATCCTTTAATTATAGAACAGGGTTTATCGAAGTAATCAAACATAAACTTACCGCTTAGCTGGAGGATAAAATGTCTTTTTGTGTCTGTCACTGGCAATGACAGTGTGACTTCAGGTGCCGCGAGTGGCTTTTGTAAACAATCATTTTATTTTAGACAAGAAATGTCCTTAGACTATTACTAGTAAAAATTATATCAAGATAATTTAAACACACGAGAAATGGTCTGAAATACGTTTATGCCAAGGAAACGGCTTTATATTGATTAAAATAATTCTTCCGCATAAATTAAAAGTATTGAGATGTGTCCACTAAATTTGATAGAATTGCTCAAATTATCCAGTAATGTTTCATGCTGTGAAAACCTTATTTCAGTGAGGTAGGTGATTTAACGGAAGTGATCATTATCACATCGATAGTTAGTAATCGCTCAATGAAAAGCAAATCAAGTAGCATTCTGATTTTTAATCAAGAGGTTATTACATTGTTAAGGAAGATAGAATAGTATTTCTTCACCTATTACGGAAGTTTTATTTCCTTTATTTCGATAACGCGTGTTGAAATCACGCCTAATATTTCAGATTTTTGGCAGCTACTTTGCTTTTTCTTTCGACTGCGCCAACTTTGCTATTTCCGCTCGGCCGTGTTCGTAAAGTGACCGAAAGAGATCTCGATAAATAACCTTGGCCTCCGGCGCGCGACAAATGGCTGGAACTGAAGTTATTTACTCCTAGAGTGCGGAGTGGAATATAGTCTTTCTACATTGCCCTACTACTCTTTAGAACGACTGATAAAGGTACCTTGTAACCATTATTTCATCCCGTAAAAATATTAAACTGTTGACTGAACACAAACTCTATTTATTATCATTAAAACAAGCGGAATGAATTTACAAAGCTTTGTGTTTCTTAAATGTTTTCCATTTAATAGTTTCACAATTTACATTCAGTCATTTAAACACGGAAGTTATCATAGGTAATACTTTGGAAATTGTCGATAAACTCCCGACTCGCAAAACGAGGAGGGGATTTATCTAAGAATTTCCAAATCAGTGTGGGAGTTAATAGGACTATTCCCCGAACGAAATTATTTACAACAGAATTCCAAAATGCGCCAACTAATGAAAATAACTGAAAGTTATGTCTGTTAAAATCAGAGGTTATGTTGTAGTGCATATGCTGTTTATTGGACATCGACATAGCAATAGATGTATACCGCCTCCTAAGATAGATAAGTTACAGTTTATGATTGGCCAGTAGGTAGAAGCGATAAGAAAAATCGGAGAGAAAAAGCGATAAACGTTTTGAGATACACCGATCTGATTGGGACATTTTGTATGAATAGTTTCACACTGTTGGTTTTAATTTCACGAGTGAAATAGTAACAGCTAATATGTCTTTAGCAAATCGTCCACATGCTTGAAACCGCAAAACCTGTGGGACAGAGTAGTCCTCGATCTACTCTACACGACCTTACGAAGCTTTCTGCTTGTTTCTTCACGGTCCTTTAAAATGATATCCCGTTTCTGAGTGGAGAGAAATGGCAACGATAACCCGTTGCATTACTGAACACCCCCTGCCTTTTGCTGACGATCTTGTCTCCACCAACTCACGAAGCTTTCTGCTTGTTTCTCCACGGTCTTTTAACATGATACCCCGTTGCTAGGTGGAGAGAAATGACAATACCCCGGCACTTCACAAAACGATGCCTGCGTTGTGATTGCCTCAGCAGCCGTTCTTGTTCTGCCAGCCAACCGCTTTTGCGACTGGTTAAAGGTCAGCTGCATAACACGATCGCTTTGAAAGGTTACGGCTCGTCCACGACTCTCACAGAAGGATTCAGGGAAACAAAGGGGGGAAAAAAGAGGACAAATGTTGTGTATATGTTTACTCGTGGATCTATTGTTAAAAAGACGTGGTTGCTTTCGTTGAAGGACGTTTACTGATTCGAAAACTCGAATTTTCTCCAAACGTTTACTACAAAATGTTTATATCATTACAAAAAAATGTGCAAAATTATAGCTGTTTAGAAAGTTTAAAGTGATGTATGAAGTCAATGGAAATCGCTGGATAATAGAAGGAAGTATCAGGAACTGAATTCAAACATGAATTTGGCCTAAACTAGTGATACCGATTCACCTCGACTACGTCCAAATCAATAATTACATAAATACTATTGGAATTTCTTGTTAATTATTTTATTAGAGGGGCAAGACAAGAGAAAACTACGAAAATTTGAGATAACATATTTTGTTCTACTGTTTCTCGTACATCCCAAAAAGGAGTATGAAGATTGCAAAATGTCTTGTTGAAAATGTTGATTATTATTATTATTATTATTATTATTATTATTATTATTATTGTTAATATTATTGTTAATATTATTAATGCGATAAATTGTTTCTGTAATCCCTTTGTGTATTTAAGCATACGTTATAGAGATAGGAAACTTCAGCGCATAATGAGTTAGGAAACCAGATTGTTATTTAATGATTGGTTCCTAATGATTTTTATTATAAATTTTCACAAAATGTTTTGGTTGCTTAGTATTGTACTTCATCATGAAAAAAATTACTTGGAACAATATCGAAGATCCTGGATTCACCTAATTATAGTAATGAAAGAGATTGTAGTGTGCTTGATCTGTATTTAAATTTGATTACAAAGGAAAATTCAGTCTGACATTTCGAAATATCGACGTTCTAGTGGCATCATTTTTCAACCCGAAAGATATTGAAAGGGGGAATGAAATTCGATTTATCAATAAATCTGAGATATCGATGAATTCAAGTTATAAAAGAAATTGCTTGGTCCGGATCACCGAGATCGTAAAGGCAGTAGTGCCGTACCGAAGGATTGCGGGTTCGAGTCACGCTTTGGGCGGGGTTGTATTTGTGTTCGTCCTTTCACCTCGTATCATCACCACGTCATGTCATCTTTGGTTAACATACCATTACATGCAATAGTGGTCTCTAAGTGGCCTCTAGTGGTTGATGCGATCGTAAATAATCAAACAAAAAAAAGAAATCGCACTTTACCAAGTCCAACTGACCTGGGTATAACTACATTGCCAAAAATTCATTTGCGGTGCGTTGGAATAACAAATCATTCAAATTTTAACAAGAGATTTGAAAACTTCTTGTGCACCAGATTACTCATATTGTGTGATTCCTCGAGGCCATCAGTGGGCGAAATGTGAGAGTTTAGATGTCGACTCCTGAAAGGGAGTGAAATCATGTCAGGTTGCGAGGGAGCATGGCGGAGAGATCTCTAAAAAAAAGTTAGCTTTTTAGTACGTCTTTTTAGCTTTGCAATAGCGCAGTGTCTTCTTTTTGTTCTTAACTCAGAGTTTTGAATTTTCTGGGTTATATCTTCATATTAGTAGGAAAATTTTTTCCTAGTCCGAGACCATTTATAAAACCCCTTTGGATTTATGCAAGACATTTATCCAGACACTTTCCAGTGCCTTGACATGTCCAGAAAATAGATCTCCGTCATACTGCCAATAAAATGCTCGAGAGTAATTTAAAATATTTTAGCAGACTTTTGGGTTTCGAGTTTATCGTTGCTCATAAATCTTGGAATAAATATGACATTGACACAAAACACAAATTTTGAGAATAAATGTAAACAAAATTTATTTTTACAATTATTTTGGTACTGATGTAATAAAAGTAGCATGCTAGCATAATCTCTTCGTTAATGCCTCAAACATTCCTTTTCGTTCACCAATCACAAAATAAATCACAATCTTTCTCATAAGTGGTTAAAGATTTAGAGGGCATCAAATTAGAGCTTACAGCTTCTTCTTCCTCCCGAATATCGTCTGACACATAAATATCTGTTGATACTGCAAAATTCCCCGACATTTTTTCTAAATCAGCTGCTCAATTAGCAGAAAAATCATACAACTGTTTGATCACAAACAAGGCATCCAGTACCACTAACCCATGCTACAGAAAATCAACTATTTCTTAACTCTATAACTTAAGTGATAAATGTTTAATTTGAATAACCGATAAACTAGAAATAATAAGAAAAAACATTGTATGTAACGCGTCCTCTATTAGTCTTTAAGAACTCGTTTAGAAGATTCGTGGCATAACTATGAGTAATATTAGTGAATTGATACATTTCGCTGTTAATATATTATGTTGCACATTACCTTAATCAGGGACCTCACTTCTAGCACACTGTCAGGGAGTCAAAAAACATATCTTACGTTTTGAATTTTTGGAATAAAAGTCAAATTAACTTAAATATTTTCCA